CCGGGTAATGAAACGTTTGCAAGAAAAGAACCAAGCCCAGAGAACCCCAAGGACTCCACAGAAGCATTCTCACGTTGCCAGTTAGGTTACATTTAGTTTTGCCTGAGGGTCCCACCGGGGCAGAGACGTGGTTTTGCCCATGAATATACAGTTAATGTGATTTTGTGTAAAAACACGGATGTAGCAACACATTTGAGATTTCCAATAACAGACACTGGTTTAGTGACTGACTCAATTCGTCCCGTAAACCTTGATTTAAACTCAAAGATGGCTAATTTTTAGAATTTAAGAAATGAGGGTTTAGCTTGCAGAGCTTGGTGTTTTTTAAAAACCTCTCCATTAAACTTTAAAAACATTACGGTTAACATTTCTTGAAAGGCGTTGCTTATTAGTTTGTAGGAGTATATATAAAGTAAGTAGATATGTAACTATCTTACAGTTATATAAAATACGTATTTTAAAGAGGAAACCTTCCCTGTGTGTATGTGTGTGTATACATACATACATATATGTAATATCTATGTGATGAAATAAAAAATCCTATACTAAACTGAGGAAAATTAAAGCCCTAAGGGAAAAAAAATTCTAGAAAAGAAGGAACCCCGCCTAAAAACTATGAAAAAGAAATAGCAATTTAACAACTAAACAAAACTAAAAAACAAGTGTGCGCACACACACACACAACCTAAATTATATCTAATATAACTCGGAAAAAACCAAGAAAAGATATCAGGCTATTGAAATTATATCATTTTCTTCAATTTCATTATTTTGATTTAATTATTCAACAACAAATTAAACTTAGACATAGAGAATTATATCATCCAATCTTGCCTTTGTCCAGGATGGGGACTGACAGATTTCATTAAGTCAGCTTTTAAAATCTGGAATCACTTTTTCAGAACAGTCCAAGCTTGATGTATCCTAAATTCTTCATAAAGTGAAAGATTACATATTTTGGGGACCTAGTTTAACAAAACCTTAACATCTTTAACCTGTAACTGCCTTCATAGCATCTGATGTATTATTACATCACTGTAATAATATTTAATCAACAGGGAACTACAAGTGGACATACCCAAACATATGTACCACTTCCCCCCAAATTTATTATATTTCCATTAGAGAAAGGATAAAGGTTTAAAAACACGGATTTGGATTTGAAACATCCAGAAAACCGTAACAAGAAGTTTTTGCTAAACTAATCAAGTTTTTTATTTAGGTCATAAGAAATGTATCTAACATTCCTTACAACCTGAAGTCATTTAATGGGCAATATAAGATACCCCAGTTCCTTATCCCAAGTGTCTTGTATATTGTCCAAATTTACTTTTGGAATTTTTTCAAAAAATCGTAATGTTAAATTGTCAATTTAATCTAGTAAAGGCCTTCTCCAATGAACACAATGCTTCCAGAGTTTCAAAGGCTGTGAGGACCCAGGGCTAAATAATGTAACAAATATTTCAACTATATGTATTGTCATTCAGCCTTTTGGGGTACTATATGTTATATTCTTTTTATGAAATCCCCAAAGTTTTAAAGGTATGATTTCTTAATAGCTGGTGAAGGGTAATGCTTCCACCATGAGCCGTTTTCTTGGAAAAAATAGTTACCAGCTATTTTAAAATAAGAATTATTTACAGTATGTGTCAGTTTCTCATGAGAGGATAAATCAAAGAAAGGAAGACACAGTTTGTCTGACTGCCTTTAGTGCTGGAAAAGTAGCCAGATTCCTAATTTAATTAGAAGCAAGAACTTGCCAAGGTATTAAATAATGTTAAGTTGAGCCCATAATAAGAGACAGTCAATATCATTTCCATTCCGGCACATAATTGAAGTTAATGTATACAATCAATACTACTGTTAAAATCAGGAAAATTAAAAACCATCATCCTAATAGGAGAGATGTAACTTTAAGATGGGTGTCATGGGTATTTTTTAAAATAAAATTTTAACAGTAAACTTATACATCTGTTTAAAATATTTCACTAGAACCAACATAGGCATTCTCTCAAAATATATATCAGTCTTACTGCACAATTAATCTTCTCTACATTAATTCTCCCCCACACATTTAGGGGTATTGCCAATTGGAATAATATATGACTTACTCCAATTTATTGCATACCTAGAATTTTTCCATATAATGACCACTTCTACAAACTTAGGTAAAGCTTGTTGATAATCATTGAAAAAACCCAAAGTGTCATTTGCTTGTAGCAATGTCTTATATTGAAATTCAGCTAAGTATTTTTTCTTTAAATTTCATGAGTTTGTCTTAACAGGCAGACAAGGACTCCAACACCAAATTAAAAATGAGAAGAGACAGAGGATATCCTTAATGACTTGTACTTTAGTTACTGGTGAAGCAATCCCATTATATGAGTGGGAGAATTATATGAGTGGGAGAATTAAGATAATAAATTATAATCCCAAAAATATATTTTAAAGCAGATTTAAACTTCTGTAACACTTTAACTACATCAAAAGCTTTTTTTTTTTTTTTTTGGCATCCCATGAAGCTGATCCTGCTGATTCATGTTTATCAGCACACAAAGCTGTTACGTATATCAGTCAACAGTCTTATAGTATCTGAAGCTCGACACCTTTCATGCAACCAAATCATGCAGGACAAATTCTTGCAGGGAATACTTTCTGTGATCTTTTCGCCAATTGTTAAAACAGTTTTAATAGTTGTTAAAATCTTAGCGTGAACATTTAACAGAGATATTGGATGATAATTTGTACACTGGGTAGGGTTCTTGATAGCATGAAATTGTCAAAGCTTTGTTTTCATAAGGTGCCTGAAACATCTCTAAAAGTGTAGGAGCTAATTTTACATACTTTTTTTATATCATTCTATTATGGCTTCATTTGGGCTAGAGGCCTTTCTAGACTTCATCATTTCAAGAGTATCACAGATTTCCTCTATGGTTGCAGCCAAATTATCTGACTAACATCCAACAATTGCAGATTTTTTGCATTTAAGAAGACATCTGTCTACTTTACAGCTATATTTGTATATGTAAAATACAGTTTTATCAAATTAAACAACCCTGAAAATTAATTTTATTGTAATTACCTTGCAGAGATTTGTGTGCTCATATAAGAAATGTTGGTTTGAGGTGCAGAGACTGGTGATATCATTACCCAATTACTGATGTAGTGGTAGAAACTTTATTTTTTTAAAAACCTACTCTCACAACTGACGCCAAACCAAAATATTAATTTACTACAGACCTGAAGACTAAATTCTCATGTTTTTCAAAATACTGATTTCAAAAGCCAGTGTTGATATGTAGAACTGGGACTTACAGCTCCTTGAATAATAAAAGCACTATTAATTTACAATCACATATGGCCTCAGAATGTTTATTTATTTATTCATTTATCATATTTACATAGCCACCCATCTCACAAAAATGTGACTCTAGGCCGTGCCCAATAAAAAACAAATCATAAAATCAAAATAGTAAAACAAGTACAGTTAAAAAGGCATCAAATAACATTACTAATAACAAAATAGCAGAGAAATTGGTGTTAAAAACAGTGCAGCCATCTCATTAGATCACCATTTCCTTGAGATCCCCAAACCTGCTGACCTAACCATTTTTTGAGGAACTTCCAGAAAGACATCAAGGATGGGGCCTATCTCAATTTGCAGGGGAGGATGTTCCACAGGCCGGGTGCCACGGCAGAACTGGTCTCCTGGGTCCTACCAGAGGAAGTTTTCACGGATTTGTAGGTTTGTAGGATACCTCTTCTGCCAGACCTGATGGGACGGGCAGATGTAACTGGGTGGAGGTGGTCCCACAAATAACCCGACCCCATACCATGAAGGGCTTTAAAGGCCAAACCAGAATGCATGAATCACACCTCTATCCCACATCTAAGAATCTAGACAACCATTAAATGTGCTGTCCTCCAGTTCATAAGGAGGCACAATTATGACAGCATAATTTCTTCAGCACTAACAGCAAATTTCGAATCTGCCTTGATAATGAG